GCTAATTTGCTGTTGAACTGTTTTTTTTTTTTTTTAACCTCTGTTTAGCCTGGGAGAGTGGGGAGATTCTTCATACCAAGAAATGATCCTGTCTCCCTTCAAAGAAATGTGAAGACCTTCTCAAGACTTGGTTCAAAGTGATTTTAAATCGCTGTGGACTTCCCCAGCCTCCTGGGGAAAACCTCTTCCCCTTGGCTGTCTGGTGTTGTTTCTCTTGTGAACGTATTCAGAGCGGAAGCTGGGAAGAGCAGCAACCTGCAAAGGTTGTGGCTTAAAAATGCCCCCTCTATGCCTGTTTTTCATGCCAGAGTTGCATTTTGAATGTTGCTTTGTGGAATAAATATTTGGGATTCTCACCTCCTTTATTCTTTACTAAAGAAATGGATGCTTCTGAAAGTAAATCAGATAGGGGGGAAAAATGGGAGGTGTTTGAAAAAGCAGTGCTCCAGGCTGGGTATAATTAACTGCTTTTTGTGTCTTGCATGCAGGACAAGTCGTGGCTTAGACTGCTTGATGGTGGGGAACTCCCTGCAGTGGGCATGGCTCAGCACGAGGAGAGGAAAGAGCAGCTCTTGGCAGGGGATCCCCACTGCGAAGGACTCGCAAAGCCGAGCAAATCCCTGCAAAATGAGAGGGGACTTGTTTTCTATGATTCGGTTAAGAACAGTCTTAGGGGCAGTTTTCTTTGTTTAACATCAATCTACATCTTCAGAATTAGGTGTAGGTCTGAAGTCCAGCAAAGATAGGATGGGAAAAATCCGCCTTGGGCAGCATGCTTGGGTGGGTGAAGATGATGATGGTCCAAAGCTTTAGGTGCCTTTCAACAAGGAGGAAGGCTGAGCCCCAGCACTGAGCGAGTGGCTGGGGCAGGAGTGCAGCCTGCATGTGCCAATGGCTCGGCCAGCACCCCCAGATACTGATTCACTGCCAGTAGATGTAAAGAAAAGTCATGCGGAGATTACCGGGGTGTTACAGCTTCCTCAGACTCTTCGTAAAGAGCTCTTGAAGGACAAAAACCAAACAGTTGCTCCTTCTGCCTCTCCAGCGCAGGGGACACTCCAGTCTGTCCTTACAAGCCCTTTAGGCTTCTGTTATGTCTGCCTGGAACAGAAGAGGCTTTTCAATGGGGCAAAACAGCTTGGCAGAGGGGGCTGCTTATTTCCCTTGAAGGACAGAGATGTTTGTAGCCACAGTGAGGCTTTCTCCAGGGGAAACTCTCCATTCCAGAAATCTGAATTACAGTTAATCCTAGTTACAGCTGTCTTTCCCTTCAGAAAACCAGGAGCCCATGGCTGTGGGATGATTCCTCCTCCTCCTTCCAGTGTCATTCTTGGGCTTTTTGTCCTCTTCATAGCCCTTCTAGATAGCAATGGGTCATCTGGAGTCTTACAGCCTCTTACCCTTAGGCTGTACTCCCACCCTTAGGTCTTCGGTAGCAGGAGTTTGCCTGCCCTAGAGTTTGTCTTGATGTCTCCCATGCTCCACAACTGTGCGTCCTCCCTTTTCCAGTGGAAACAGGACTCCTTGTGGTTGGGGTTGTACCAGAAGGAGAAAAAAAGTAATTTACCAAGAAAATTAGAGGAGCAAGACATCTTCCTTGCCCCCTCTTCTCGAGGTGGGCAAGTCTTCTGCCACTTTGCAAGCACAGTACATACAGGATTTCTGAGAGCCGGCAGAATAGAGAGGCTTGAAAGTACAGTAAAATGAGTTTGCCATCAAAAGGCAACAAGTCTTATGCTGTGCCCCCGGCTGCTGACCTTTCCCTCTGGAATTCTCCCCTCTGACCTCTGGATCATTAATCCTGATGCTGCCAGATGACAGTAATCCATCATGGCCCCTGACAAGCCTTGCAGCCGCCTGTGAAAGGATCCGCTCGGCTTCAGCATCCAATCGTCCCATGATACTCGTTTTTCAGCCTTTCCTGTTTGAGCGCTGGGGGTTTCCAATAAAGACTTTATCGCCCTGCCTTTCCTCGGAGAGGGGCTGGGGGAGGAGAGGGCTGCGAGAGCGGCCTCTCCGTGCTTCTCTGCGCTTTTTCAGGCAGGTCCTGTGAAGCAAGCAGAGCCGTAGCTTGCGTGGTGAAGAGCACAGCTAATTTACCAGGTCCAAACCCCAAATCACTCCTTGCTAGCTCTGGGAGATACTGCTTTGAGCTGTACTAGGAGAAAAAACATGGGCGGAAAATGATTGCGTCTCTGTGCTGAAGTGGTAGAAGGATGGAAGTAGTTTTGTCCCTGCTGTAAAATTTCTCAGCCTGCATAAAGAAACATTTTGTGTGTGTGTTAAATATTGGTGGTAGGTTTTAGCTTTGTTTATAAAGCTACTAATTAAATTTCAGGGCACTTGGGTCTGTGAATCTGGTTTAAAAGCAAACCTCAGGAAGGGAGGGTGTGACATAACGTGAGGTGGGGAGGTCAGGTCTGATTGTTGTCTCTACTCCAGCTATGAGCCAGCTCTCTGGAAATAGATTTAAGCCTTTATTTGTTACTGATGTAGGTAACGTTTGTCCCTGTCACTGGAGCATTTGGATAAATGTATGTGCGTACCTTTTCAAATGGTGAGATGGGAGAATCTGGGAAGAGTAAACCTGTGTTTAGGATAAAAGCGGTATATGAAAAAGGAGATACTGCCTTATACTTCTGCATTAGCGGTGTGTTTGCCCAAGGAGCCTTATCCATGACCCTTGCCTTTCACTCCCCATCTGGTCACTGTCCAAGGAGAGCTGGATGAAAATCCCTTCTGGACAAGTTAATGCCATTCCCTAAATTGGATTGGGGGAAAGCGGGTGGCTTTGAAGGGGCACAGGGTTGCTGGAGGAGTTGGGGAGAGGGTCTGGATCCTGCCCTGGGGAGCAAAGGCTTTGCTGGCAGTGCGGTGCCACTTTGGACACCCTGATTTTCCTTGCTGCTGGGGCAGAAATGCTGAACTTTTATTAAAGGGACATTTTGGGGTGGGGAAAAAAACCCAGCCCTGGCTCTTCCTAGAGTCCTCAGAGATAAAGATTTCCCTGCTTTTCATTTGGAGTGGGCTGGGTGTGACTTGGGTTACTGTGGCCCAGCTGATGAACAATAACTTAAGGCTGGTAACCTGATTGCTGCCAGCCCTCTGCCCATCAGAAATGATGCTGCTAGCACGCTCTTCGTCTTTGCAATAACACACTGGTGGCTGAGGAAAAAGTGTAGCCAACTGTGGATTGCGTTTACATGGCTGGCCTTTTGGGGAAGGGACTGTCTCCTGGCTTGGGGCGGCTGGCTGGGATGGACAGAGCTGCTGTGAATTTAAAGAGTTTGGAAATGTCTCTGCTCCCTGAGGGAACTGTCGTCTCTGAAATGCAGGAAGAGGATCTGATGCAGCTTGTGAAATTACTGCTTTGTGGGGTTTTCTGTCGTGGACAGGGAAGGGGTTGTTTAGACAAGGCGAGGAAAAGAGGATGTGATAGATCTAAAATGACGGAGCATGCGGGCCAAGCCCCATCAGGTTGCTCCTTGTTTTCTTACAGCTCAAGAGTTAGTAACTTGGTGAAATTGAAGGCAGCCCGTTTAAAGCTGAAAAAGTTTACTTTTCCTATCCAACATCTCATTAACCTGTGGGAATTGGTACCATGAGCTAATGCATAACAGGCTTCCAAAAGAAAAGAGACAGGGGGGAAAAATTACACTTACATGTATAATGAGGACATCTGCGGAGCTGAGCTGAACTCCTTTTCACTAAACAGAATAAAACCCATTTATAAGGGCCATAAACTGCTCTGCTTCGGGGCATTAGCTGAATCGCTGGCTGATGAGCAGTGGCAGAAGTCTCCCCTGTGGGTTGGGAATTCCATAATTGTCCATTACAGCCCTTGGCAGGCTTTCCTGTAAAGGCTGGTGCTGGCCATTGTGGTAGGCAGGATACTGACCTCGGGTGGACGGCTCTTTGATCCAGGACAGTACTTCCTATGTAAAATAAAAGGTTTGCTACATCAGCATTTTTCCTCCCCTCTTCCTCTCCTTGCCTAAATCTCATTAGTTTGACCTTTTGAAACCCTGCATGCTTTATCACTTTAAGATGCTGCTAAAAGGGTGCCATCAGGTTAAAAATCGGGTTTTCCTACCTCTGTTAATCCCCAAGATGACAAAACTAAACAGGGCGGATAGAGCCGCTTCCCCATCTGCCCTATCTATCCTCGCAAAGATAGAGCAGGACCTTGGTTTGGGCTCCAAAAAGTGCTTGGATGCCTGGTGCTTTGTGCCGCTGCTTTTGGTGCTTGTTTGCCCGCCTCCATCATCAATGGAATTTCTCTACAGCTTTCCCATGATGAGTTCCTGCTCCAGCCAGCTGGGTTGCGGTTGCTGCACGAGCGGCCTTGCTGGTGTGTCCTTAGGGAGTGTGCTGGGTGAGAAGGCGTGGGAGGGGTGACAAAATGCATTGTGAGAGCAGAAAGCTGCAGCAAAACGTTAGGCACGTGCATGTGAGGGAGGACAGAGGTAAATGTACAGAGGGGAAGGAGATGCTCCCAAATCTCACGCACCCTTTTCTGTCGCTGTTCCCAAGCAATACAGGGTAGCAAATCCCAGGGAGTGAGGGAGCCGGATCCCAGGGCACAATTAGCTTGAGTTGCCTGGCTGCTCAGCCCTTCCTGAACACAAGAAATACAGATTTTTATCTGAGAGAGCCCTGGGAGCTCGTAAAAAATTATTCCTCCGTGCTACTCCCTCACCCTTAGGACTGAATAGTCCCTACTTCCCCTCTTCCTATTTTAGAAGTTGCTCTTAGCTGCAGGTTATTATTTGTCTGATAATTGCTGTTGCCTACAGGAAAGGATTTTTCATGAAAAGGACGTGCCATGTAGCTACACTTCTCTGGCTCATTTACTCACCCAACAAGAAGCTCAAGTCAGGCTACAAATAGAGTTGCCTGAATTTCCTATTAGGAGGAAGATCGATAACCCCAACCTGCTGGTATTCTTGGCCTCGTCTTTTCTCTGACTCCACATCTCCTTCCCTGCTGTTTCCCTGCAGGAACTCCTATCAATCGGATCCCCATCATGGCAAAGCAGATCCTGGATCTCTACATGCTCTACAAGCTGGTGACTGAGAAAGGAGGGCTGGTGGAAATCATAAACAAGAAGATCTGGCGAGAGATCACCAAAGGCCTTAATCTGCCCACCTCCATCACCAGTGCCGCGTTCACACTTCGAACCCAGTAAGTCCAGAAGGTCCAACAGCGTGGATGCGAACACAGCGCAGGGTGGAAAAATTGAAAGACTAAATCCTACCCCATGGCCAGGGAGGCGCTGACAGACTGGTTTGTGTCCCTCTTGCCCAAGGCTTGTAGTTTTCCCTTTCTGTTCCTTCTCTCATTGCTCTTAGCAGTGATTCTTCATCCATCCCTACAGTCCCAGCACTGATATGCTATCGGCTTGTTCGCCATGCTCTGCGTGTTCTTCTGTCCCCTGCCTTTCTTGCCTCTTCAGAGCTTAAACTCCTCAGGGCGAGGAGGGTCTCACTCTGTCTCTGAAGAGCACCTGGCACAGCAAGGAGGGAGGCAGACCTCCTGATCTGTAGGCATCAAGTATGAACTTGATCATTTAATGTCTGTTACTGCTACTAGGTTGTGGAAACTTGCATTTAGCACCTACTTGCTGTGAGGCTTGCTTTTCTGGCCCGCAGTGCCTCATGCTGATTAGGCAGGGGAAAAAAAAAAGGAATAAAAAGTAGAATAAGTAGAGGAAAAAGAATGGTGAAAGTAAACCTACCATAAAATTTAAGCAACGGGGTGAGGCTGTGTCCCTCGATATGGGAGGCTAGGCTCTGGGAAGCCAAACCCAGCTCTTATGCAGACTCAGTTTTCTTGGAAGCTATTAGAGCCCCTGAGTCCCAGAGAGGGACGCTCCTTGCCATTTCTACAGCCTTTGGTACAAACAGGCTGTCTCCCGCGAACGCGCGTGCCAGAATTCAGCAAAAGCGGTGAGGTTTGGGGCTGCCCAATACAAATGACTTGGACAAGGGCAGTTCCTCAAACCACCTTCCTTGCATTAAGTGTTACGGTCCAAGATCTTGGTTCTTGTCATCTTAGATGGTTATCTCGGTTGTAAAGGAATTCTGGATGATTCTGTTCTGCCCTTGTGGGTGTAGTAGTATATAACTACCTGCTTCCTTATAAATATTGAGTAAGCTCAAAGTTTCTTTGGGAGCTGTGCCTCGCACCCAAATGGCTCAAGTCTTATCAAAGTAGGCGCAGCAGTGGTGGTGATACGCAGAGAAAGACTCCAGATCTGCAGAGGACCGCAGTCTGAAAGTCCCTCTGAATACAATGCTTGTTGCTGTAGCCTATAACTTCACATTCGACTGAGAAACCTACTTGAGTTTCCCTGTGCTTGCCCCCTCCCAGGTATATGAAGTACCTATACGCCTATGAATGCGAGAAGAAATCCCTCAGTTCCCCTGCTGAGCTTCAGGCTGCAATCGATGGCAACAGGCGGGAAGGCAGGCGGCCCAGCTACAGCTCCTCTTTGTTCAGCTACTCGCCCACCACCACGGGGCCTCCTTCCCTCCTGTCTCCCCCAAAGATCCGCTTCCCCATCATCGGCGTTGCACCAGGCAGTGGGACCAGCAATCCTCGGGTGTCTCCAGCAGCAGCGGTCAGAAAAGGTCAGCTACTCCTGACTCGCAGCGAAGAGGGTGGCTGGGTTAAGAGGTGCGGGCACTGACTGAAGCACAGTTATTTTCCATTTTGTCCACCCAGACTACTTTGGATTTGAGAATAGTGGGACCTGGGTGGCTCAGGGCTTGCAGAATATTCTGCCTGCAGTTTAAACCTTTGCGTGCTCACTTTAGGGAGGAGCTGTGGGAGGGACTAGGTGACTCTTTCCTCTTCTAGGTGATGGCGTGCCCTTGACTGTGTCTATGCCAAATCGCATTGCCGTGCCAGTGACCTTGGCTAGCCAGCAGGCGACTGTGGCAGGAAGAACAGCCACCCTAGAGCAGCTGCGGGAGAGGCTGGAGTCGGGAGAGCCTCCGGAGAAGAAGGCCTCACGGATGACAGAGGAGGAGCAGCGGCTTGTCCAGCAGGCTCTCCAGCGCAACCTGTTCAGCATGGCACGGCAGATCCCCATGAAGATCAAAATCAATGGCAAGGGTAAGCAGCGCCTCTGGATGCACACAAGGGTCTTTGCAGGCTGCAGCAGGAAGGGAACTGCTCCCCATCTAGATGTTGAACACCCCTTTACATGCAGGCTTGATTATCTCTCTGGGTACCAGGTAGAGGTCACTGTCAAGAAGCTGTTAAAATGGAGCACAATGACTGCAAAGCTAAACTGTAGCAATATTTTGCTAGGTTTTACTTACTGCGGCTGTTTTTATTCCATTCTTGTTCATGCATAATCCAGCATCATCTGAATCCAGCCTGGATTCAGAAGCACCCTGGCAATGTTCAGAAAGCCCTGCACCTGAGCTGATAAAACCCACTTGACCCATACAACAAGACCTTTCCTCTGAGCTTATGACCGCCTGGATCATGGTGAGATTGCTGCAGGACTCAGGCTGTTAGCCGCCACAGAACTTGCACTGGGGGGTGGAATTCCCAATTTCAGCTGATGCCAGCTCAGTTGTCCTTGCAGCTATGCTCTATTGCATGCTGTAAGTACGCTCCTTCTTTCAGGGGTTGGCTGAAGTGGCTTTGGGCCACCTATCTGACCTCCTCACGTTTAATACTCGGAGTGTACTTCAGATCCAAGAGCACAGTTTAGCCTAGCCAAAGGCAGTCCTGGGATTCTGCCATCAGTAAGATGATTTTTTGGAAAGGAAGCCCATCATGTGCCAGATGCTGAGCTTCCCCCTGCCCTGCTCTCATCTGAGCCTCATGCCAGCGTTGTGCTGCGGGGAATTATTTTCTGTCCTTTCGCAGTCAGGAACCCTTTTAACTGATCATGGAGGTAAGAGCTTTTTCCATCTGGGTAGCAGACTGCAGGAGATGTGGGGAGAGAGATGCCCAGCTTTTAGGAATCCTTTGTCAGGTGTGATGAGGAGGCCACAAAGACCTGTCCTATGTGTACTGGGGCTTTTAGGGAGTCAGGTGATGTCTGCTGACATCTGCTGCAACCCTATGCGGAGCCTCCAGGCAAAGAACTCCTGGCAAGGCTGGGTTAGGAGGTCAGGTCTAAGCAGCATTCACAGCCTGGGAAATGCACTCCTGAAATGCTTTGTAAAAGGGGAGTCACCCTGTAAAGGTCATGTTGTCAGGATCAATACTCTTATGTACAGCAGCTTCAAAAGCTGATTAAGTGCCGTGACTCCCTTACCTGTCCCGGGGGCTGCACTTTGCTGGGCAGCAGAGCCTCAGAAAATTTCAGTCCCAACAGCTGCTTCCTCCAAACCTTTTGATCCATTAAAATTAAAGGTCTCAGCCCCCCTATTAATTGTACATTTGGATGTAGGCACAAGGCCAGGCAAGTTTGGCATGGCTTAGAAAAAAGGGAAGAGTTGTTCCTGAGGCCTTTGTTAGCAAGGCTGGTAAATGCTTTATTGAGATGCTTTGCCAGAAATATCTACGGCACAGGGTCAGAGCAGGTTCCCCTTTGAAGCGGTAGCTGCTTGCCGCAGAGTTAAATGGGATCAGGACTTCACAGCGCAGCTATGCATCCACCTAAATGTCATGTTTACAGAAAAACAAAAACTAAAATAGTGAGTAAAAGGGAATACAAATTTCGTCAAGTGATGTTTGTTCCCTCTCATTTAACTTTATTTTCTTTTTTCTTTCCACCCTGAACTTCCTAATCAAAACACTAGGAGCAGTTTTAGTCCGTGTTCCTGGGTTTGAGTCCTTGGGGCCGTGGGTAGTCCCCTCCCTCCAGCGGCCGCTGGAGCTGCTGCAGTCTGAGCCCCGTCACACCAGCTCCTCCAGAAACTGTCCCCTCTCAGCCAAGGGGGACGGGACTGTGTGGGCCCTCCCAGTCTGCCACAATCCAGCCAATTTAAGTACGGTTTTGTCTCGTGTGCTGGCAGCTTTTTCCTTGGAGGGGATGTTAATTTGGCCCTCCAGCATGCGAGCTGGGGACAGATTTGCAAAAGCCAATGGGATCCCCACCTATACTCTGTTCACGCTGCAGCATTTAAACACCTTTGTAGACTTATAATAGGACCAGAAGCAGGTATTGTGGGGGGATTTCCTCACTGAAGAAGAGACAAAGGGAGGGCTGTGGACACCTTCGATCATCTCCAGATGGTGCAGGAAGCAGGATAGTCCCTCTCTAACTCTGCATCTCTTCTTTCTTGAAAGATGATAAACCGGACTCGGCGGCAGCGGCAGCACTGAATTTGTCACCTAATGGCATTGGGAGTATTAACATGTCAGTGGAGATTAACGGCACGATTTATGCTGGTGAGAAAGAACTGCTCCCGGGGGCTGGTCTTTGCCAAAGCACAACACATGCACAACCTATCCAGCTTAGAAAGTTCAGTAGGAGATGATTTCTTTTCTCTTTCTTTTGGTCCTGGGCAGTCAAGATAAATGCCCTTTCCTTTTGGTGGTGGTGGGTGTTAGTATTTTTAAAATCTAAGGGAAGGGACTTGTATGGAAGCACTAGCAGGAAGGGGTGTTATCCCTCTTCTGCTGAGGACCAAGCAGCTTCACTCAGCTTTTCCTCATGCCTCTTTGGGAAGTAGGAATCCTTGTCCCCTGTGCTCCCAAGTCCTGGGGGATCCCTTCTTCTATCCTGGTCACCACTGACCCTCTGATCTGTCTTGCACTGAGCCTCTTTCTGTTGGGATGAGATCTCTGGGGTTGGATGGGCCGCCCTGTGCTCTATACTCTGTCCTTCTTGGCCGTGCCACCCCATAATCCTGCTAACCCTTCTGTTTACCTCTTTGCCTTGCAGGAGTGCTCTTTGCCCAGAAGCCGGTCGTCCATCTCATTGCAGGCTCCAGCACCCAAAGTTCTTGCAGCAGCAGCAGCAGCTCCCACTGCTCTCCCAGCCCTACCTCATCCCGGGGAACCCCCAGTGCAGAGCCCTCCACCAGCTGGTCTCTCTGATGGACGGCCAAGCCTGCTGTCTCACACTGGCCTCCGGCAGCTCCTCCTCTCTGCTCTTGGTGGGGAGTGAGCCGGGAAGGAGTCGCACAGATTACCTCATCTCAAGGAACCTGCTTTTGTGGTTGGCCAACAGCAAGATGATGATGGCGATGCTGAAACCTTTCTATGCCAGCGAGTTTTTTTCCTTCATCGTCTGTTTGTCCAGCCTTTTTCTTTGTTCTCCCCTTTCTTCCTCCCTTTTGCTTTTTGTTTTCTTCCTCCTCCTCCCAGGGTTTGCTGTGTTCCTGTTGGGGGTTGGGACGTGGAGGGGGGGGGATGGATGGACATGCCTGGCGTCTTTCAATCAGGGATTGTCTGTAGGGTTGAGAGATGGCTGAGATGTCACCAAGGCAGGTGGAAGGAGCTGGAGTTGGGGCAGGGAAACTTGGTTCTGCTCAAACCAGTAGCCACAAGGCCTCTTCCCACAACACAACTCTGTGTATTGACAATCCTAAGAGCTGGCAGGGTGCCTTGCCCCTGTCCTCCCATGGCTTGTGCTGCCGAAGGCCATGCAGCTGCAGAGCAGGCGAGCTCTCACTTTTCTCCTTTGGGCTCTGTTGTGCTCCATTGTTCATATGTCCTCCCCAGAACACGTGCTCTTGGCTTGTGAGCCTCCTTCCCCCTCTCCGAGGGCTTGGCAAGAGGGCAAGGACTTTCTCACTGCTATGTTTGACCTGTAGATGCATTAAGAACCTCTTGATCAGCTGCTTCGGTCTCCTGGCTGGTGCTGGCCTCTTCCCTGCTGTTGCCTTTTTCAGGCTTTCAGCCACATTTTAAAAGCCCTCAGCCTTGTGTCTCTCCCTCCGAGGAACTCATCCCACTCACATTTACCTTGACAGCCTGAACCTACTCTGACTTGGCATTTTGACCCTCTGCCCCCTTGCCACAAAAGGGCTGTCATTGAGGTCCATCTAGGCTTCCTGGAGCCGCTTTCTTCTCCTAAGGTGTCTTTCAGTAGCCCCTGATAGCTCTCTCCACTATCCATGCCCTGAGAAAACAGGTGGTGATATTTGAAATCAAATTCAGTGGGGCCATGGGGCGTGTGTGGGTGCTGTGGTTAATGTGATGCCTGTGTACCTGCATTGGTCTTTGAACAAGCCTACAGCTGCCCGGTCCCCTAAAATTCTGCATGAGCAAAAAGAAAGCGGCTCTCAGTTGAGTCGGGTGCTTTTGCTCTTCTGGGTGGAAGCAGAGGAAAGGAAATCAAGCCCTCCCTTGCCCTTTTCCCCTCAAACCTCCTATTGAAAGCAAACACATGCTGGCCATGGCTCTCCTGTGCCTGGAGGCAAGCAAGCTGGCTCAGTGACTCCCTGAGCTCGCCTCCGGGGCAGACTTGTTCTGTCCCCTCTCCTCCCGATGGCCTTTCCCCAGCCTGGAGATCAGGTCCCAGCACCATCCCTCCTGCCCTGGTGACATCCTTCCCATCCTCCAGGCCCAAGTCAGGTTTATTTGAGCAGATGAAATACCTCAGATATGTACTTGTTGTTGGGGGTGGGGGGTGTTTTTGTTTGTTTTGGGTTGGTTGTTTTTAACCTCTTCAGGAAGTATTGGCATATCTTATCGCTTGTTTTTGTTTTTTTATATGTGGTTTTGCTGACATTGTGGATGTTGGGGGGTTTTTTTAATTATTTTTAATTGTATCACCAAAGATAGAAGAAAAAAGCAGAGTGAAAGAGCGGTGGCTTCTGCCGTCCTTTAGGCCAGCAGGAGACAAGCTGAGCAGCGTTGTCCCAGGACATGTGCATGACACAGGAGGACAGGTAGAGGTAGGAAAAGAGGGGAAGAGTGACTGCTGACTTAACAGATCTGTCCTTCATGGTGGACGCAAGGGCATCTCCAAGGTCCCTGTTACTTCTCTGAGCTCCAGGATCCATGCTTACCTTCAGCAAAGCTGCTCAGTGCAGCTGGGGGATGGCAGTGCTGCTTAACACTACAGATTGGCCAAGCCTCTGGTGGGAAAGGTGTTTCTGGCACCTGAAAGCACAGCTTGGGCTTGTGGTGCTGCCCCCAGCCACCTCCTCAGCCCTGCTGGGACTCCGCATTACCCCAGACACAGCTGATTCTGTCTATGCTACAAGGCTAAGCTGTGTTGGGAAGCCCTTGTGAGAGGTTGCCAAAATAAGATGTTCTACAGTTTTTCACCTGTTTCAGCCACCTGAGTGAGTAGATATGTTATGATCTAAGTGAAAATCCTAACTCCAGAGGTTCAGCCCACTAAAAATAAATTTCCTGGCGGGCAGTGGCTGAGTGTTGTAGAAGAGAAGGTTGCTTTTTTACGTGCTCCCACAGGTGAGCAGAGCTGTGGGGAGACTTCGGGTGCCCTTGCTCTTACAGGCTGAGCCTGAGCTCAGCCCAGAGTGGCTGGCCCTTCCCTGCCCAGTCATTGCTGCGATGCACTGTGAGCAACTTCAGCCTGCCTTAGTCCTCTGTGAGGAGAAGCCCTCCCGTAACACCTCTGGTGAGCCATGGCAGCCTGTCCTGCTCCAAGGCGCTGTTTATTTTATATTGCTGAAAAAAGCATGGCTTTTAAAAGCACTGGGCCAGGCATCGCCACAGGAAAAGCCCCAGCAGCAGATAGGGGCGACTGGGCTCCATGTACGTAGAAAACAATGAATAACCTTTCCTTTAAGCTCTCAGCTGTCCAGTTTCTCCTCTGTAACCCCACCAGGCTGCTGCTGCATCCTCAAGAGCTCCCAGGTCTTGTGCTAAGGCAGCACCTCCTCCCTGCGAGAGGCTCTGTATGTTCGTTTGTACCCTGCGGCTTGTGCTACCCCGCTGCCTGGCAGCGTGAGGGCTTGCTGGGAGGAAGAGGCTGGGAGTGCACATGTCCTGAGGCAGATGCTGCTCCGTGGTGTCCCCTCCCCAGCTGCTTTTAGCCAGAGTGATGAGCTCCTGCCAGCACAGGGAAGCTGAGCTGCGCTCCAGCTGCAGGGCCTCCACAGCACCTCATCCTCGCAGCGGATTTTCCAGGCTCTGGGGCTCATTCAGATGGTTTTTGTTTGGGGCTTTTTTTTCCTTTTTTGTTTTCTTTCTGTTTTGGTTTTTTTTTTTTATTTGGGGGTGGGCTTGGGGGCTGTTTCCTACGAGTGGGACTGGGGGACGTTTTGCTTTTCTTGATGCTTTCTTCTCTGGTCCTGGGGAGCAGATTTCTTTCTGTTTTGGTTTTTTTTTTTTTATTTGGGGGTGGGCTTGGGGGCTGTTTCCTACGAGTGGGACTGGGGGACGTTTTGCTTTTCTTGATGCTTTCTTCTCTGGTCCTGGGGAGCAGAGGTTAGTAATGGGTGGGTTTGCTTATGTATCACATGCTAACATTTGTGTTTTCTTGCACAGAAAGGCACTCGAATCACTGAACTGCTAAACAGCTTTGACACTACTAGAGTATTAATGTTTATAAGCTTTACACAACTAGACTGGACATAGACAGGGACTAACAGATTGTTTTGTATCCAATTCAGGGAAAGAATCAAGTTGGGATGCGTTAACAGATACCTCAGTAAAAATAAGCTGCAACAATAAACTGGTCCTTTTCCCAGTTATGCGGTGACAAGGACCAGCCAATTCAGACTGTGAAGAGTAACCCTTTCCCTAAGCCTGGCTTTAATCCTGGCAGTTGGCTTAATGTGTGTTTTGCTGAGCTCCAGGTCTCCTACTGAGCTGCCAGGCTTTGGGAACAGGGTTATGGAAGCCAGCAGCAGAGATGGGGCAGAGGAGCCGGGAGCTGGGGGAGGCTGAGCGAGGGCGGTGGATTCCCCCTGCTGTTCTCCCCAGCTCCGCTTCACTTCACTTGACTGTGTTCGATTGTATAGTACTCAGGGGTTTTGATACTGCGGGTAGGACTGTTCCTCGTGTGAAGTGCTCTGCTTTGCAGTGTGGCTAAATTCTCCTTCAACTCCAGACCAGTGAAGGTTTTGCAGTGAGCAGCCCAAAAGATAAATATATATATATACACACAAATAAAAGCCCCCAGCTTGCTTCCATGCAGCCTTGATGCTCCTGTTTCAGGGGGAGATTTGCCAGCTGGGTTCCATGCCCAGCTGGGGGTGAAAAATATATATATATAAAAAACCATCAAACCTGCATTGTCCTCTTCCAGCAGATCCCAGTTTATGCTGGGAAGGCACAAAGATTGTGAGCTGGGAAAGGGGGAAAAGGCGAGGTGGGGGGAGAGGCTGTGAATGTGTCACACAAAGTCCTTTTGGCCGCCGCGTGCGTGCTCCAAAT